ACAAGTGCCCTTCTACCCTACCGGATCATCGCGAGGGGTTCACTGGGCCCGACGGCGCTTACTGCTGCACTGATGGCTTTTACTGGAGCTTTATCATGTTCAGGGTCAACGCCACTACCCAAACCTTTGACGTGAGCGGCATTGCTAACCTCCCCAATGCTGCCCCGTTCTACGTGTCTGACCTCTCCTACACTATGAACCAGGAGGATACTGCCATGTTGGTCGACCAGAAGCCAGAGAGCCGTGAGCTCAAGAACATCGGTGGCTTCGATCTGCCCTACCCCATCGACCTCGATCGGATCGAGTTCGACGCCGAATGGCAGCAGATTAGAACTTTCTATGGAGATGATTATTTGGTATGTACCAACTCGAAGTGCCCCGCTGGATCTCCTAGAAGCCGCGGCCGATTCCTCGCTGATGGTATGTACTGCTGCAGCGACTATAATTTGAAGTCTCTCGTCTTCAAGTTCGACAACGATACTCGCACCTTCGACGTCTCCGCCCTCTCCACGGTCCCTGGGGCCGCTCCTCTCTACATTTCCGATGTCCACTTCCACTTCAGTGAGGATGGCACCCAGATTTTGGTCGATAAGAAGAGCCGGCAACTCCAGATTGGTGGTTTCGGGTATCCCGTCCCTGACTGGAAGGAGTTGGACTTCTCCCCTGAGTCCCAGACCATTACAGTCACGTATAAGGGAGATGAGATGAAGTGCACTTACGACCAGTGCCCAGCTGGCTCTCCTCGTGGTGTCGAACGCTCTCTCCCTGATGGTATGTACTGCTGCAGCGGTCGCTACTGGACGGACTTCTTCTTCGAGTTCAACTATGTTGCTGGTACCATGATTATGTCCGGTATGGCTAACCTCCCCAACGTTGCCCCGTTCCATCTCTCCGACATGCATTTCCACATGAAGCCCAACAACAGGGTGATCCAGATCAGTGAAGGTCGTTCCCTCCGCAGGACTCAGCTTATTGGAGGTTTCGGCTATCCACTCCCCGACTTCAAGACTCCATTGCCCTTCAGCGCTGCTGAAAATAGCATTACGCTAATCTACCGTGATGTAGCAATTGTTTGCACTCCCGAACAGTGCCTCATGGAAGAGTAAGCTGATAATTGTCTGGAAGAGTAACTAGGCTTACGCAAAGTAATTTCCTGCTCGGCAGATTCAGCTCGAATCTCCCTCTCTGCGAAATTTGGTGCTGGAACCGTTCGAGCACCAGAGTTCGCTTTCTAGTTTTTTCTTGTGCTTCGACGCATATTTTCCATCTGATCGAGCGCAGTCTAAACACCTCACTGAGGAGTCCTCAGGAGGCTCGATAGGGACACCTCATTTTTTCGAACTTCTCTTTTTTATCGTGTTATGAGTCAATACGTGAGATTCGGGCAGGTGGTGCATTTATCTTGGGGAACATTCGGTACAGAGCATGCAACAGAACGTTCCCCAGCCGAGGCATGCTCTGTTGCCTTCCTCAGAAGCTGCTTGCTCTCCTTCTTACCGGTTCGGCAACGTCCTTTCAACTCGAGACAACCCTCTACTATGCGATCCTTGTACACTGAAAACGATATTGAGGTTATGTATCGAGAATGCTGTTGAGCAAATATTGGATCGTAAAAGGAAAGAAACCCAAGGAAGTAGATTCTAATGAAATATAACTCGTAGTGGCATAGCCGCCCCGATCAAGGAAGTAGATTCTACTGAAATACAACTCGTAGTGGCATAGCCGCCCCGATCAAGGAAGTAGATTCTACTGACATACAACTCGTAGTGGCATAGCCGCCCCGATCAAGGAAGTAGATTCTACTGACATACAACTCGTAGTGGCATAGCCGCCCCGATCAAGGAAGTAGATTCTACTGACATACAACTCGTAGTGGCATAGCCGCCCCGATCAAGGAAGTAGATTCTACTGAAATACAACTCGTAGTGGCATAGCCGCCCCGATCAAGGAAGTAGATTCTACTGACATACAACTCGTAGTGGCATAGCCGCCCCGATCAAGGAAGTAGATTCTACTGCAATACAACTCGTAGTGGCATAGCCGCCCCGATCAAGGAAGTAGATTCTACTGAAATACAACTCGTAGTGGCATAGCCGCCCCGATCAAGGAAGTAGATTCTACTGACATACAACTCGTAGTGGCATAGCCGCCCCGATCAAGGAAGTAGATTCTACTGAAATACAACTCGTAGTGGCATAGCCGCCCCGATCAAGGAAGTAGATTCTACTGAAATACAACTCGTAGTGGCATAGCCGCCCCGATCAAGGAAGTAGATTCTACTGACATACAACTCGTAGTGGCATAGCCGCCCCGATCAAGGAAGTAGATTCTACTGAAATACAACTCGTAGTGGCATAGCCGCCCCGATCAAGGAAGTAGATTCTACTGACATACAACTCGTAGTGGCATAGCCGCCCCGATCAGGGAAGTAGATCCTACTGAAATACAACTCGTAGTGGCATAGCCGCCCCGATCAAGGAAGTAGATTCTACTGAAATACAACTCGTAGTGGCATAGCCGCCCCGATCAGGGAAGTAGATTCTACTGACATACAACTCGTAGTGGCATAGCCGCCCCGATCAAGGAAGTAGATTCTACTGACATACAACTCGTAGTGGCATAGCCGCCCCGATCAGGGAAGTAGATCCTACTGAAATACAACTCGTAGTGGCATAGCCGCCCCGATCAGGGAAGTAGATCCTACTGAAATACAACTCGTAGTGGCATAGCCGCCCCGATCAAGGAAGTAGATTCTACTGAAAAACAACTCGTAGTGGCATAGCCGCCCCACTAGGAGGAAATGATCTTATCAAGAGGGACATGCCGGAGACAAGCTCGTCCCAAATAGCAGTATATTGATGCCACTTCAATTCCTCCTTCATCCGCCATCATCAACACTTTCCATTCAACCAACCCCCATCACTGAGACTCATATCTGCTCTTTCGGTTAATCAGTCAGTCCTCCTGAGCTATCTCGAGGAGCATAGAGCCCATGAAGAGTCGTCAAAACAACCTCACTATTCTTATAGGTACGACCTGCTGAAGAGGCGGGAGGCAGGTATTCTTACTAGGATTTTTCTGATAGGTTATTCCAGCGGTTAGACTGCTATACCAATAGCGAACGCTCATTTTCCATTTCCTTCTCCAAATAAACCTCAGTGAGCTCATTAACAACCGCGTCATTCAGGGGTTCACTCTGCTCAGCCAAACGAGCTGCCAGGCTTATCGCGGACCGCGCAAGACAATCTGGTAGCTTGCCGGCTTGACGGCGCCGCGCTTGCTGCACACCGGATCGATCTCACACGTGCAATTTCTTTTCACGCAGTTGCATGGTGGTGCACTGACTTTTTTGGTGGTCGATTCAACAACGCAACACGAACAACTCATTCGGTGATGGGTTTTCTTGCTGTGGTCAATTTACGAGGCCATATATGCCCCTTGTCAGCGCTTACAACCTTCCTCTGTTTTGCAGCTCTATCTTGTACAATAAGGAAGACTATTGTCTATTACACTTGGGGTTCGATTGAATTTAACACTACTACTGATCTGAGCCCTTCAACTGTTGCTCATTCCAAAGAGGCTTGCGAACCGCATAAGGAACCATCAGCTCTAACAGAGCCACTTAAGCTGGTCCGTAAGACTGATCTCGAGAAGTGGTCAAAAAACTTCAACACATATGCGTCCCTTGACTATGACTATTCTAATCTTCGAGCAGTTGGCTCCTGCGTCGATCCAAGGCGGTTTCGATGGGTAACAAATAAGGAATGTGAGCATGGTGACAACACAACACTTCCGCAGTGTGTCACCATCCAAGACAAAGAAGAGCCGACTGTCTTCGCTAAGATGTTGGGTAAGATCAGTTTTGCCCTATCTTGCCCTTGCAAACGGATGATTGCTTATACTGGTAGCGCTATGAGGCGAATACTAAAGCAGCGAGCCATTGAACTTGGTATAGATAAAGTCCAACTAGTCTTCGTGGGTGAAAGTGTTTTTCGAGAGGTTTTCTCAACGTTGATAAGAGTCCTTAGAGGCGGGGACTTACCCCCCGGTTTTGACCATCGCTTGCAAACGAGACGTCATGGTCACATATCGTACAGTGATGCAGACGTCGAGTTGTACTTTTACTTCCTGGGAGGAGTCTATCCTTACCCCTTACTTAACAAGGAGGAATGTCCTAAGCCGATCAGAACAGGCAGACCCACGAAGCTGGCCGAATTGTGTGATGGGCCGAAGGGTGTATGGAAACACATACTAAACCCAACAGTAAATCCATTAGTCATTGAGACTGAGTTCAACGACACAGAGAAAGTCTTCCCTCATGATATTGCTCGTACGGTCCTCGTTGCCTATGGTGCGGGAGTATGGGATGCGGCGTATTGTGGTAACGTCACTGCGTTCGGCAGAGAATTTCGGGAAATTCTGCGACTTATAAGAGATTCTGGTCAGCCTACGAGTAAATTCCTGGTCAGAAACGTGGGGGCTGGTTTTGGTACTGATGAACACGTTAAGGAAAACGCTGCGTATAACGCTGAGTTGCTGAGTTCAGTTCGAGACGTCTTTGGTGACGCTGGTGTTGGTATTATTCCTTTCTATGAAGTGTCTCGGGGGAGGCCAGATTCAACTCACGATGGTCTCCACTTTACTTGTAAGAAATGGAAGCATTGTGTAGAAAGACCGGACCTTGTGACGGTGTATTGGTGGGTTATTAATATGGTGATGGAACATATTGACAAGCAACGATGAGAGAAAATTGCAGCTATTAGATAGTTATCATGATCATGCCCTTTTTACCACAATTTTTGTCGTGTTGTAGTATATACGGTGTTGGGAGAATATACATTCACTCTTTGCAGCTGAGCTCAGGGGTTGTCTCACTAATTGTAAATCTTCACACACGAACTCGGGTGGAAGTATATAGAAACCAACCGTGTCACCAACACACATGTGTATATTTTTACACACTGAGTAAACAGTGTTATTTTTTCATAGTCATCACCACTATGGCTGAGATGAGAGTGTCGAATGAGTTCGACACTCTGTTCCCCGTTGATATGGATCTGTCATCCTTACGAATAGGTAACCCGAGTGCCGCAACATGGTTTGGTTATGCAGTCCTTGGTAGTCGTCGTGGAGAGCTCTGAGAATCGGCTCATAGTAAAATCAATAAGGAAGGACTTTGAAGAAAAACTCGCAGTATATAACAATGCCGAGCTCAACGTTGATGAAGTGTGAGTTCATTACGAGCCTCAGTACGCGGGAGCTTCTAACCGTTTGTAGATACGTCCCGAGTGCATGGCATATCCCCTATGCCGTGCAGGAGATACTACAACAACACGGTCAACGGTTCGAGCCCTTCCCGATTGTCGTTGTTTTGGCATGCCTTATTGAAGAAAGCTCTACAGACTTCAGGTCATCACTTTGTGGAGTTCCACCTGTCATTTGAAAAACATATTTCATAATTCGCTTCGAGAATCGCTTGGGAGTGTTCACTTCATATCACGAATATCGCGTTTTTCACATGGAGTATCACGCCACTTCGTGTAGAAGGATGAAGCTCCAATGTTGGAGGAATATATATATTCGTTTACTTCACTAATCATGCAAGTTCACGTACGAGTGCAGGAGTAGAAGTGTACAGAAAAATTCTCAAAGTTTCATCAGAATTCACGGAGTTGAGCGTGCGCATATTTTTGTTATTGTTCTGGTCCACTTCAGGATGCTATGTGATAACGTATCGTACGGTCTAATGCGGATCAGCCTTGACCATAAAGTGCCGATAGTTAACGGCATGCTGATGACATCAACAGAGTTGCAAGCAGAGAGAAGATGCGCGGGTCGGAGTAACGCCTTGACAGGGAACACTGTAAGATTATTGTTGTTGTTGAAACGACTGTTGATTAGCTATGACGTGATTCAGGAGACCTTCGGGGGAGAGTTAGCGACTGAGGCGATTTGTATAGGAGGAATTAAGAGAGTTGTGAAGAACTTAGATGCTGATGAGGATATTAAGACGGAAGATTCTGATATATTGTGATCTACGAATTTCGTGTGTATTTGTGTTATAAGTATCACAGTGGGGAGTAGTGCGACCGTTACGCTGGCCAACCCGACCTGGCATGTGCTTTAATACGTTGTTGTAGGTTCTACGTTGGTGGCATACGGATATTCAATCAACCGGCGGCAGACCTCGTCATTCGCGGTTGGGCTTCTCAGTGACTCGTTGACCACACGAGTGTTCGTGCGCAGTAACATAAGCTCCGCTCGCTTCGCTCCTTCCGCAATTTCTCGATAGTTGTATTGTGAGTAAGATCTTTCCATAGTAACGTTGATATGCATGGAGTGTAGACTAGCTTGCGGGGTGCGGGGGTGATAATACAGCTGGAGGAGAATCCTAAGGATACCACTCCTCGTCCACTTTCGCGCTACCTCTACCCCTCTTTTTCAGCTGTCTTATATCCCTATACCCTTGTACATCTATCTAGCTATTCGGCATTTGGATTTTTTCCAGGCGACCCCTCCCGAACGCTCCCTTTGCTGAAGGGGAATCAATCGACGATTTCAAGTCCTCGGATTTCGAGTTTATCGGCTACAACCCATGAGGGAAGAGATGACGGCTTCGTCGTACTCTTTGTAAAGCTTGTTAATAATGATCACTACTGCATTATGAAATCTATCTCTGATTATTCTCGGCGTTGCGTTACTGAAGTTCTTGTGAGATCTGTCGACAAGCGTTGTGAAATTGATACCGCAATACAGAGAGGTCCGGGGCTAGTCTTACCCTGAGGTCTGGAAGATGCCATTTTCGGTATGGTTTCCCTAATTTTGTTGACGAGGCAGTAGATTGATGGGAAGGCCTTAATTGATGATTACAGTATGTAGATGTACCAGCGGCCTGGGAGTCGTTACTCCCATCAAAAGGTTGAGACTGGTGTAGTTAGCCGCAACTCTGAGTGGTTTCTCCTACACTCTTCGTGAGACATCTTTACGATGATGACCTTTTCGGTTTTGTGTGGCAGAAAAGATATGAAAGACTCCTTGTGAGTTCCATTGTCTACTGATAGAACACTCTAGTACCGATTGTGACACCGGAGTGGAGGATATTTGCGTGGGAAGATTCGTTTTTAAGCTGCGTAGAGCTGTGGGAAATATATCAGCTGTTTACATTGGTATTCGTATTATTGTACAGTATTTGGTTGTTTGTAGGTTTTACAATTTTCCAAACTCTTTATTATAATGTCATCTATTACTACTACTTGTAAGAATACTATGAAAGTGACTTTAATCGGTGCTTCCGGTGCCATTGGTATGCCTCTTTCATTGTTGTTGAAGTTGAACCCTCTGATCACGGAGTTGGCTCTTTATGATGTCCATCAGGCTCGTATACCCGTTCCTGGTATTGCTGCTGATAATTCTCATATCAACACTCCGGCTAAGGTGAGAGGATATGTCGATGCTGAGCATCTCCCTGAGGCTGTCACTGGAAGCAACGTCATCATTGTATGTGCTGGTATTGCTCAAAAACCCGGTATGTCTCGTGAGGATCTCTTTGGTGTTGATGCCGGTATAATGCGTGACATCGCAACAACTTGTGCTAAATATGCCCCGAATGCTATGATGTGCATCATGTCGAATCCCGAGACTTCACTCGTTCCTCTCACTGCTGAGATCTATAAGAAGGCCGGAGTCTATGACCGTAAGAAGCTCCTCGGCATCACAACTCTCGATGTGACTCGTGCTCGAACCTTCTATGCAGAAGCTACTGGTCTTGATGTTGAGAAGGTTCATGTTCCTGTTGTCGGTGGTCACGGTGGCTGTGCTATTCTTGCTCTCTTCTCGCATGCTACACCTTTTGTAAAGTTGGATGAGAACACCATCAAGGCTTTGGATGAACATGTCCAGACTGCTGTCACTGAAGTCGTCGATGCTCTCGCTGGTGCAGGTTCGGCCTCTCTGTCTATGGCATACTCTGCTGCTGAGTTCATCGATACTGTCATCCGTGGTTTACAACAACAAGGAGGAGGAGACTACCAGCAGCAGAAGAAGGCCACGCCGTCTGCCTGCGCCTACGTCAACTGGCCTTATCAAGGGTGTGAGTTCTTCGCCCAGGTTACCAGCTTTGGTCCCGAGGGTATCGAAGGTGTACAGCCGATCGACAACTTAAGTCCATTTGAAGAAAAGAGGATGGTCGAAACTGTCAATAAGGTGAAGGGAGATGTGGAGAAAGGTATGGCTTACGTTGAGGCCCACCAGAATTAACCTGTCTTATATTCAACAAAAAGCAATAACAATTGTTATTTTGTAATCACTACACTTGTCTAGCCTTATCAGACTTACTGGGCCTCTCTAGTCATCTTGTTTTCATCGAATGAAGCGGAGTGATATTCCGTTGCATATAATTTGATGTATGAGAGACCCGATTCAGTATTAGAGTGATGCTCTATTCTTAACTATGATATGTATTGAGTTTGAGTCTTACAAACAGAGGTTATTCTAAATTTCCAAAATTGCAGTTGATTTGAATGTTCATGTTCATCATCGGCGTGGAAGTTTCTCCCTTTAATCTCCCCAAAGCCCAGGTTTCTCAATATCATTTCCTAATATTCCATATCCGTGGGATGTGGAGGTCGGCCGCCAAAGAAGTGTCGACTGGACTCCAGGCATTGGAGAGCACCACCTAGGCGAGCCTACTCCTCCTAATGGACACGATGTTCAACTGCAGCGTTCAGCTTGCACCTCAGCAATGCAGCAGCATCGGACTCCAGTCGAAACCTCTTTTGGATGACCTCCGCATCCTGAGGTATTTCCATATTAACATGTGCTGTATCATCAATTGCCGCCTCTTAGACTTCCAATCGATCGGTTCTCCTTAATCGTGTTACGGTTTTGCCTGAAGCACCAACACGAAGTCGGTCGTTGCGGACGCATGTAACCTTCGACATTTGAGACTATGTTCTGCTCACATAATGGAATACCGAGTGTTCGCTGGCTTTAGTACATTACTACTGTTGTATTCTACAACTGCTGCGAGATAGTACAGCGGCCTAAACTGTCACTACCCCTAACCTCTCAATACTCTACATTCATGTCCCTCACAACCTCTGAGACACAATGATAAAAATCCAGTCACAGTCGATGGGTGTATACCATGCCCGGCCGGCCGCCGTGCATACCCGAGCGGACCTGGACGTGGCACACCCACTGGTTTCACAATCATAACGCTAAATTCAATCCCAACAATCATGGTCGTCCCATAGACGCGACCATCCGCATCGGTATTCA